GAGTTAAATAATTTAGTACTTTAAAGTTTTATTTTAATTTTTGTGTTCATATTGCTTATGGATTTGTGCAATTTATATAAGCATATTATGTAAATTAAATTAAATGTTGCGTGATCCATAAAATTTTAATTAATTAGAGAGTAGCCACAGCATCCTTAATTATGCAAAATTATATATTATTTTTCAGGATCACATTATGACATTAATTTTGGTTAGTCATATTGAATATAATAGTTTTTATCCCATGGGAATTTAATTATTTTTGTGTGATTAATTAGGATAAAATGTCAAATTATATTTCCTAATTTATCCATAGTAATTAGGAAAATGAGCATAATTTGATAGTTTTATCATATAGCTATTAATGGATCTAATTAAGTAGGAATTTAGCCCGCAAGCAAGTTTAGCGTCACTAGATTCATATCTTTGAAGCATGATTTTACATTGGTAAAGCATGATTTATGTTCGCTAGTCTCAATATAAGCATGTATGTTTAATTTTTATGCAGTTATAAAACATGCGAATTTCTCTGATATTAAGTGTGATATTCTCAAACTAAAGGGTGATAACTATAAGGTCTGAAAGGAGATGATTCTTCTTTATTTTGGATGGATGGACATTGATTATGCTGTTAGGAAAGACGAACCAAAAATCACTCTGAATGAAATTGCTCTTTATGAATGATGGGAGCGATCCAATCGACTCAGTATGATATTCATAAAGGCCAAGATTTTTGTTGGTATTCGTGGTTTCGTCGAAGAGCATAAAAATGTTAACGTATTGCTGAAGGCTATTGATGAGCAGTTTGAGACTTTAAATAAAGCACTTGCCAGCACCCTGATTATGAAGTTTTCATCCACGAGGACCATTACTATGAGAGGTGTGCGTGAGCACATCATGCAAATAAGGGACATTGTGGCTCAATTGTACACTCTTGAGGTTGATATGGCTTGAATCTTTCCTTGTGCACTACATTCTGAACAATTCCACATCCATATGGACCCTTCAAGATATCCTATAAGACACATAAGGATAAGTGGTCAATTAATGAACTTCTAGCCATATGTGTTCAGGAAGAAGGGAGACTGACAATGGAAATGGTGAAAGAGTGTTGATGGCGTCATAATGAAAGGACCAAAACCAAGCCAAAAAGAAGAGAAAAGGTAAAATATCGCCCTAAGGTGGAATAAAAAAGGAATCCAAGTGTTTCTTCTATAAAAAGAAAGGACACATGAAGAAGGATTACACCAAGTTCTAGAAATAGCTTGAGAAGAAAGGTAGACCAATCTCATTTTTCTGTAATGAATCTAATATGGTTGATGTTATTTATAACGCATGGTTGATTCATTCAGGTTTTACAATCCATATTTTGAATACCTTGCAGGGTATGAGAAACCTAAGGAAATTGGTGGAAAATGAACAATGTATTTATTCAGAAAACAAGAAGCGCTCACATGTGAAGGCTGTTGGAACATGCAGTTTAGTTTTAAGAAGTAGTTTTATTTTGAATTTAGAAAAGAAATTTTATATTTCAAGTTTCTCTAGGAATTCAATTTCAGTTTCAAGACTTGTACCTTTAGGATATTCCTTTAATTTTTCAGAAACGTCTTTCAGTTTATTTTGTAAATCTGATCTTGTTGGAAATTGTACATTGTCTGATGGTCTTTTCTCTATTAATTTGAAAAATAATACTACTTATGCTATGCATGTTCACACTAGTATAAGATGTTTCATGAATGAAGATTCCTCTATGTTGTGGCACTGGAGATTGAGATATATCTCCATAGAAAGGATTAATAAATTAATAACTGATAGAGTACTTTTTGGATTTTACTGATTTCGACACTTGTGTAGACTGCATTAAGCGAGAGCAGACCAACAAGTCCAAGAAAGGTGCTAAGAGGAGTACATACATGTTAGAGATCATACATTCAACTATTTGTAGTCCAGACATGGACTCGTATGGTCTGAAATACTTCATCTCTTTCATTGATGATTATTCACAATACATGTCTATCTACTTGCTTCATAATAAGAGCGAAGCACTAGATGACTTTAAAATTTTTAAAGTTGAAGTAGAAAAACAATCTAAAAAAAAAATTAGATCGTGAGAACAGATAGAGGTGGAGAATATTATTGTAGATACAACGAGGATCGACAAGCACCTTGTCCATTTGCTAAGCTTCTTCAAGAGCATGTGATAGTTGCCCAATATACCATGCATGGTGTCTTGAACCAAAATGGTTTAGCAGAAAGAAAAAACCAAACTCTAATGGACATTGTGAGGAGTATGAAAAGTAACTCTAAACTTCCTGAATTCCTGTGGACTGAATCTCTTAAAACGACAGTGTATATATTAAATCGAATTCCATTCAAGGCTGTCTCAAAGACAAAATTCGAATTATAGAAATGTTGGAAATCGAGTTTGCGACATATACGCGTTTGGGGATGCCCATCTGAAATAAGAGTTTACAACCCACAAAAAAAGAAACTAGACGCAAGGGCCATTAGTGGGTTCTTCATAGGATATGCTGAAGGACTAAAGAGTCCTTATTCTATTATCCAACTCATAGTACTAGAATTGTGGAGTCAAGAAACGTGAAGTTTCTTGAGAATGACTTGACTAGTGGGAGCGATCGATTCAAGGAAATTGATTATGAAAAGAATCATATTGATGTTCAACCTTCCATGTCAAGTGATAATCGTTCACTACACCTCTTAAATTCAAACAGGTGTTGAACAACCAATCGCTAGAGTTCCACGAATTGCTGATAATAATCCAGTGGATCAAGATGTTCAAGAATTTTCAGATTGTTGAACAACCGGTTGAACAACATGATCCTGTGGTAAATGTTGATACAACATTAAGGAGATCTACTAGAGCAAGGAAATCAGCGATAACTGGTGATTATGTTGTGTTCTGCAAGAATCGGACTATAAAATCGGAGACGAAAATGATCCCGAAACATTTTCACAAATCATGAATTGTAAAGAATCAAGTTTATGATACGATGCCATGAAAGATGAGATAGATTTTATGGCATCTAATGGAGTCTGGGATCTTCTTGAGTTGTCTGATGGTGCAAAAGACATAGGATGCAAATTAGTCTATAAGACAAACAATGATTCATTAGGCAACTTTGAAAGATATAAAATAAGACTCATTACTAAAAGATTCATTCAAAAGGAAGGAATCAACTACAAGGAGACCTTCTCTCCTGTATCAAAGAAAGATTCACTTCATATCATCATGGCATTAGTTGCACATTTTGATTTGGAGTTACAACAAATGGATGTGAAAATGGCATTTCTCAATAGAAATCTAGAGGAAGAGGTTTACATGAAACAACCTGAGGGATTTTCCTATAGCGGTAGTGAGCATTTGTTGTGCAAGCTCAAGAAATCTATATATATATATATGGATTGAAATAAGCTTTTCATCAATAGTGTTTAAATTTTATGATGTTATCTCATCTTTTAGATTTGTAGAGAACATTATGAAAAATATATATACCAAAAGGTCAGTGAGAGTAAGATTTGTTTCCTTATTCTGTATGTGGATGACATTTTACTTGTAACCAATGATAAATGTTTGCTATATGAGGTGAAACAATTTCTCTCTAAAAATTTTGAAATGAAAGATATGGGTGATGCATCTTATGTTATTGGTATTAAGATCTAAAAGGACAGATCTTGAGGTATTTTTAGCCTGTCTCAAAATATATGCTCAGTTATGCACAAGATTTGATATTGCATTTGTTATTGGGATGTTGGAAAGATATCAGAGTAATCCAGGTATAGACCACTAGAGAGCTGCAAAAAATGTGATGAGGTACCTTCAAAGGACAAAAGATTACATGCTTATGTACAAATGGACTGATAATCTGGAGGTGGCTGGCTACTCTGATTCGAACTTTGCTAGCTATATTGATTCATGAAAATCAACATCAAGATATATCTTTATATTTGCTGGTGGAGCTATATCTTGGAGAAGCGCAAAGCAGGCCTGACTGCTACTTCCACTATGGAGGCTGAGTTCATATCTTGTTTTGAGGTTTCCTCACATGGTGTATAGATGAAGAGTTTCATTTCTGGACTAAGAGTCGTGGATTTGATTTCTAGGCTATTGAGAATATATTGTGATAATTCAGCTGCAGTCTTTATGGCTAAGAACAACAAAAGTGGTAGTCAAAGCAAGAACATTGACATCAAGTATCTACCATAAGGGAATGTGTTAAAGAGAAAGCAGCAGTTATTGAACACGTTAGCGCTAAATTGATGATTGTTGATCCTTTGACAAAAGGCATGCCACCATTAAAATTTAAGGATCATTTAGATAGATTAATGGGACTTGGTTCCTTTGTGTGATTTTCATTGTAAGAACGAGGGTTAATGAAACTCTATTTGTACTCATATTTGTTTTCCTTGTGTATGCATTCATTTTGAGAAATATCATTGATGTTTGGACCTAGAATAAACATGTGATTTATTCATTAAGTAATATGGGCTGGTGTTTACGAAACATAATGCATTGTGCTGCATGGAAGATAATACTCTTATTTAGAGAACTTATCGCCATGATTCATGTATTTTGTTTCTTACTATGGTGAACGATGGAATATATTGACCAAGTGGAAGAATGTTAGTTTTTTTCTTCCCATGTTAGTTAAATTGAATCTGGATATGGTCCACATATTCCATTGTTTAGGGATGTGAAAAACTTCCAAATCATGTCCCGACTGCCTTCCCCTTGTTTGTGCTCGGTTGAAAACTGCTCTATGATGGATGGAGTCCATATATATATATATATATAGTTATTTTTCCATCGAGTGGGTCCCTAAGCCTTCCAATCTCACACACTAAAAAATACACCATCTAATCGAGGTTGAGCGAGCTTTAGAAGCACCTAAATTCGATAATAAAGTGTGTGTGAAAAGTAATGGCGGGAGATAAGTTTTTTGGTTCCATTTTATTCCGCATTTGATCTATATGCCATTTCAGATCATTGAAGCATGTTTAGATTATTTAAATATTGTTTATAGTTACAGCATACACACATATGTACATATAAAGAGGTTACATCTACAAAATTCACTGGGCTTCAAATTTCGATAGTCTTCCAAAATTTTCTGCAAAAGACAATGATGCTTTCCTCATAGTATTGTGGCTCCTTTTATTAATAAAGTCTGTGCTTACCAGGTCGAAACATAAACATTGATGCCACTGTTGATTGGATTAGGGAATTCCATAACCTACGATTTAACACTGCATATAAAGTGATTGGAAGCACGGCAAGAGCAGCAACAAGTCTTGGCAATGTCCCTTGCTTTTCTTCCTTGTAGACCAAAAAGAAAGTTGCACTATATGTTAAGTCCATGCAAATGACTGAAGCAAAGAGTGTAATTAGTCCACCCATCAGCTTTGCCGGTAATGAAAATAGAAAATCATCTTCTCCATATCGTGAAGTTAAGATAGACAAGAACATCATTATGGAAGTTGTCGAGCTAAACATTGCCACAGCATTAGATATAACAAAAACTGTGAACCACCCATCAATTAAGAAATTTGGAGCCCCTGTTTCTTCTTTATTCTCGCCAGGTATGGTAAAGGCGGCAGCAAACACAACTGTGGCAATTAAAGTTGCCACAACCATACAAGAAGTTGCTGTGCTCTTCATCCACTCCTCACCAGCTTTCCGTAAATTCTCATGCTCCATTGTAAACAACTCCTTTGGTTTTTTGTGTTCATTGTTTTCCATCTGAAAATAGGAAGGGCGTACAATCTTCTCCACCTCCTGTAAAGCTTACTCAAATTAATGTATGTTGCAAAATCATCTAAAATTCAATTTTTGCATTACATAGAATAGTCTATAGGACTTCCAAGAACTAGGATATACTCATAATACAATTTACCATGATGCTATAAAAGCGTCCCTCTTCTCTTTGAGAAGGAGACTTGTAATCAAGTTAATTTCTCACCTTAAACCATAGTAACTCTCTCTGCATTTGAAGAGCTGGTCCAGATACAATGTTGAGTCTGCTTGGAGGTGCTAATTTTCCGGCCAAGTGCAAAATGTTGTTTTTATCTTTATCTCTATAATATGTATTAAAATCCTTAGCAGCTCCTGTTTGATAGATGAGACTAAACACTTTTTCTTGTCGGTTAATAACAGCAACATGAAATATGGAGTACTTTTCTGAGTCGACATTCCATGTAAGTTCAGGAAATGATTGAGTAAACAGAGTCAGAAACTCAACATTCCCTATTTTTGCAGCATCATGAAGTATCTGAGTCTTTTGAATTAAGAAGCCGAAGTCCAGTGATGTCATGGGAATCCTTTCCCACAACCCCATTGCCAACTCATTGGCTTGTCTCCACCATTGAAGTGAGCTACATATCCTTTTGAAATCTAAACATCTAAGCAAAATTAACGTGCGGACTACAAACCTAAAGATTTTGAAAAACTAGAACTAAACTGGCATTCAATCACAGTTCCGAAATCATCCTTGTTTAGTTCGACTAGACATTAATACAGGCAGGATAATTATAACCCTCGTTCATAGGTCCCTTTAACCACACGTTTCATGAACTTTTATTAAAATTTGTTAAAAATCTGATTTTAATTTCCACTAAATCAAACAGGGGCATAATAAGATAAAATAATATGACCACATACATATTTTGAAGAGCACGAGTAATAAGGAAAAAAATTACAACATCACCATCAATAAGGCAAAAATCCAAGGATAAATTTTATCTAATTAGTAGAAATTTTTTGGATGCCAGCACTTCATCAAGTATAAATGAATGGTCTTATGTACGGAGAAGAGTAAGAAAGGTTTATGGACTTACATGGAATAGAAGGTATAGACGCAATGATGCTAACAAGTCTTTCCCATATCCATCCTTGAAATTTGTGATTGTATGGTAAATTTTTTTGGGCTAAAGCTTGTAATGCAAGTTCTGTGTTTATCCTTCTTGGAGGAGCTATTCTTGTACTTTCTTTTAACATCTTTAAAGCGATATCTGCTCAAAAAGAAAAAAAGCATATTAATATATGAAAATAGTCTGACCTGTTTAGTCACTTGAACAAAGAAGAAACATAATTTTATGTGAGTATCTTTAAAATAAAAAGATTTCATACCATACATGTCAGCACGGATCGCTTCTTCAAGAATATCCACATATTCCTCGTCTTCGAGATCTTCAAGACGTGTAATTGGGTAAAGATATTCAGCCATTTCTGTTTTTCTGAACCAAATTGCAATTTTAAGTGGGGTATATCCACTTTTACTTCTATCTCGGTTATATGCATTTTTACTTCGAATTGATGTCAAATTGTTGTTTTTTTCATACATGATCTTGGCAATTTTAACGACTCCTGATACAGCTGCAGTACAGAAAGCTGTATATCCATATTCATTCTTCAATTCTAGTTCACTTCCTTCCAAGCATTCGACTAGATTGCGGACAAAAGCAGTTTTCTTGGCGGACACGGCTATGTGAAGAGCCGTATTTCCATCCTTTGTTATCGCAATATTCCAAGGTATATTTTTGTCCAAACTCAGAGTTTTAGTAGTCTTCCAATCACCTTTTAGAGCAGCTTTGTGTAAAGTGTTTACAGTTCCTGATGATGTTCGGGGATACCATAGTCATTATGTCAAAAATGTATAGAGCTCCACAACTTCACAAGAAATACTATGTAGCACGTACAAAACTAAAGCAGAGATAAACTAGTGTACATAAGTTATACAATCATCACCTTTTGATGTACAGTATAATAAGGGAAATCAAGTGGTTCAGCATTGTATTGGAGCTCATGAAGCTCAAACGAGTAATTCGAGTTCAAAGATTATGTTCACAAATGATACAACATATTGTGGAACATAATGAGGGTAAAATCCCACGTTGGCAAAATATGAAATATGTGATTACATGTTCTTGGATCACTCTCTTAGTAAATGTTTACCTTTTAAGATAATATCCAAAGACTCGAAAGCATATATACACGTTGTGGGATTTTGATACCCAATAAATCTCGAGCAATGATATTAAACAGTTTTGGATTATATTTCATAGGCCTCGACCTATGAGTAAAATATTTATCAACCAATCAATTCATATACTCAACACAAAAACACAACGTCGACCACTAGTAATAACTTATTTGATTTTAATGTTGCCTTGGCCCAAATTCACTTATAAGAGGGCTTCCTTATGTCTTGGCCCAACTTTTTATGTCTTAACCCAATTGATAATATACCTAAAGCTATATATATAAATATGCCTTTCTTTGTAGAAGCTGTGTGTTTTTTTGCCTTTGTTTGAGAAGAGAGAAAACGGCTGCCTCCTTGTGATCTTATTAAAGTTCTTGCCTTCTTCTATCTTCTGTTTACCTTTGTGGTTTGTAAAACACCACCATATTGTTGTCCCTTTGTGGGTGAGAAATGAGGAATGCAACCATAAGTGATTGAGTTGTAGGTTGAGGTTTGATTGGTTGGTTGATATATTGATTGATAAGTTTAATATGAGTCCAGAATCCATGGATTGAAGATCTATTGCGTTATACACGTATTGGAAAGTTAGAAAAAGGAAATGATTATAATATAGATGAAAAGATTATCTCATCAACAAAGTTATTTTAGTAGGGATGTCATATTTTATGGAGATAATGATTGGAACTGAGAGAGAAAAGCCATGATTACTAAATCAAAGAATTGAAGTCTCCATTTTCTAGAATATAAGGCCCTGTTCTCTTTACCGTTTTCGGGTCGTTTTCTGTTTTCGATTTTTCAAAACGGTGAAAACGTGTTCTCTTTTCCGTTTTCGAAAACGAATTTTCGAAAACGTTTTCGAAAACGAAAAAAATTTGTGAAGAAAACACAAAACGACTTTTTTGTCGTTTTGGGCGTTTTCAGTGTAAAACTTGAAAAAATTGAAAACGCGGAAAACACTTC